TAATTTGAAAAAAAATAAAAAAATATTAGGATAATTAATTTTCAAAAATCTAAAATGAATTCCTAAAATAAGAAAATGAATTTTAATTAATTTTACCATTTATAAATAGTTTACAAATCATTAATTCACAGTCGTTCAATTAATCAAATGACCACAAGTTAATGGGCTTAAATTTCATTGAAAAATGGATTAGTGTGACCCTTGTGTAACTAAGATAGCTGGTCCAGCTTAAAACACATAAGATAACAAATAAATCGAACGCATACTCTACTTTCTTCCTCATATTTTTATTCATATTACATTTTATAATAATCAAACAAATTCATCAGTCCTTCATCATTGCAATATCGATTACAAATTAAACATGAATTCAGCAATTGAATTAACAAATAATCAAAATCATCAATTCAATTGATTCATCACACATTCAACCCACGAATGTTGAGAAAGAATGTTCTTGATTAAAATATCTGCAATAGCTGATGATATAATTACAATGATCTTCATCCAAATTCGTCATATAGTAAAATGGTCCTCTGAGTATGGAGAAGGAGGTGAGTTTTATTTTATTTCTCTCTCCTCTTCTTATTTTTTTTATTTATTATTTATTATTTTTTTATTTTTTTATTTTTAATCAAACATAGATTGATAATTACTTTTTCAATGATGAACCAACATTAGATTTAAGGTGTATATTCAATTTTTTAGAGTTGGAATAATTACAATCGAACTTGTATGTGTATAATTTCTGTAAAAAAGAAAAAAAGTAAACACGTAATACTTTAAAATTGAACATTTTGTACAAATTGAACATTAAGTACACTAAAAATGAATATTTAGTACATAAAGAATAAATATATTTTAACAATCTATTTTATTTTATTTTTCGTTAAATAATTATATACAATGAATAACCTATATGAATATATGAAAATCATGTTCATCTTTAACATACTAAATATTCATAATTTTTTTTTGACGTGTTCATTTTTTACTTGTTTATTTTGTATACTAGTATATATAAAGGGGAGTTTTTTCCCAAGTTTTTAGAGAGCCACATAGGATTTAATTTTCTTAGCGCGCCATGTAGGATTGTAAATTTTAGTTATAGCCAATTAAATAAGATATTATTAATTTTTTTTAATTAAATAATCTAAATGCCATGTAAAGAGCCCCATGTAGGATTGTAAATTTTAGTTGTAGCCAATTAAATAAGAGATTATTAATTTCTTTAAGAAAGATTATTAATTTCTTTTTGAGTTAAATATTTAAATGCCACATGAACAAAATTGGCGAATGAGATTTTAATTTTAAATTAATTAAATATAAAATATTATCTTTTAATATTAGGAATGTTATCTAAATATATAACATCTTTTAGCACATAAATACAAAAAAAAAATGACATTATCCTTGAATTTAGGCGGGAAATTTTTTATTAAGAGAGTGACATGTGGATAATGATGACATCAGCAACGTTTTATTTTAGTAATATTTAATAGATATTTTTTTTTTACACGTTCATAATTTTTTTTTTTACTAAATGTTCATTTTTAAGGTCGTGGTCCACCAATATTATGATTATATGATGATCATGTTCATTTTTAAAATAGTAAATAATCATTTTTTTAACATGTTCACTTTTCAAAACTAAATGTTCATATTTTATTGCTGAATATTCATTTTTTATTACTGAATATTCATTTTTTTACATGTTAATATTTTTTACTAAATGGTTACTTCTTACGGTGTTAATATTTTTTACATCCATGTAGGGATGTCAGTGGGGCGGGTCAAATAGGAGACCCGCCCCATCCCCGCCCCGTTGGGGCGGGGATGGGTCTTGGTTTGGCGGGTGATGGGGATAAAAACCATACCCGCCATGGGTGATGGGGCGGGGGTGGATTTTAGGTTGTACCCGCCCCATCCCCGCCCTGCCTCACCCGCCCCACTTCGTACCCGTCCCATCTCCAACCGCCCCACTTCGTACTCGCCCCATCCCCACATCCATATATTTTTAAAAATAAAATTATATACTTTTATACTATTTTATTAAAAAAATTATGTAAAATAAAATAGTAAATATAAAACTTTGTACACTTATATTATAAACAAAAAAAAATACGTAATATTAACAATAATTTTTTTCTTTTTGCAATCTTAATTAATTATGAATGATTATGTATGTTGGAGGCGGGGATTAGGCGAGGATAGGTGGGGATTTGGTGGGGGTGGATATCCAAGTGGGGGTTGGGGCGGAGATGGTTTTGGAATTGTACCCGTCGGGGCGGGGATGGGGATGAATTTTAGACCCGTCGCAGGAATGGGGATGAGGATGAGAAGGCCAACATCCGCCCCGCCCCGCCCTATTGACATCCCTACATCCATGGTAATCCCACGTTTCCATCTCATCAATATTCATAATATAATAATTATAATATTAATAGTTGATAGTTGATCCACGGTAATCCCGCGTTTCCATCTCATCAATATTCATAATATAATAATTATAATATTAATAATAGATAGTTGAAGCTTCTTCTTCCAAATAAGGTTTTTTTTTCTTTTTTTTGGTTGGGCGGGGTTGGGGGGGGGGGGGGGGTGTGGGGGGTGGGGGGTTTGGGGATTGTTCCAAATAAGTTGGATAAACGTTTTAAGAAATAAAAAATTACAGTATCCTTTTGTTGAAGGAATTTACGTAATTATATACGTACTTAAGCTTGCTATAAATACCCACAGAAATCAAATAGATTATCAATTCGAAAAAAAGACAGGTGCGTCCCCATAAAAAAAAAAAAAAAAAAAAAAAAAAAAAGAGAGAGAGAAAAAAGACATTCGTAATACAATATGAAAATTAGCGTAAGAATATCAATCCCTGCAAATTTCTGTCTCCTCTTATCTGCAAATTTCTGTCTCCTCTTATCTACAACTTTCTTCATTGTAGCTGCTCTTTTTTCTCCAACCATACGTCAAATTGTTCTCTTTTCTACTAAAAATCTTTTCTACATTCACTTCCTCTTCAACTTTATACTTGTTTCTATTTTTCTATTCAAGAAATACAGCTCCGACAACAACCATGGTGATATGGCGTCGGTTTCCAAGAATGCTAACGGTATCGGTACTGATGCTGAGTACATTATTAATATCGGAACATACGATGAAGATAGTGACGGATATTATTCGTTTAGCTCTGATGCTGATGATGACGATATTGGTCATGGTTCCGAAAGTTACGACGAGGATGATGGCGATGACAATGGGAGCTATGGTGAGATAGGATGGAACAAAAATGAAGAGGAAGAGTATGATTTCGACTTAGAGAGGAGAGCTGAAGAGTTCATTGCCAAGGTTATTAATGGATGGAGGGAAGAATGGTATAGGGACAACTTCGACGACTACTAATGTAGTGTGAGTTTTTTTTTCCTTCGAAGTAGTCAATTAGGTTCCTAAAGTAGCGGCTTGTACTTGGCTTGTTTCGTGCCTAATATAGGAGTCAACATATATATTAGTAGGCCTTAGGTAGTTATGAAGAGTTGTTTTGCTGTTAGTGGATAGATTATTTAAGTATTTATTTTGATCATGTGATCATGAGGACAACCAAGTTAATATCAACAAAAGCATGTTTATATTACCATTTTTCTTTCTCCTCCCCTCATATGGCCAAATTTTCCTTCTCTCTCCTCCATTTCCATGGTCACTACTTCCTTCTCTATCCCTCATTCCCACGGCTATGCTCAAGATCGACCACCTTTGCGGATCAAAAGACACTGGCCGACCAAACAATAGACACCCTAGTAGCAAATTATGAAAATTGGGCCTATACAAACCCCTTAGGGAAAGGGATTCGCCCGTATTTGTGATGTTACGGCGGTCAAATGGTGGTGCTTGGTCAGCTGGTGGTGCTAGAGAATGTGCGGTGGTTGACTGGTGAAGCTAAAGGTCGTGCGGTGGTCGGCTGGGTCAACTAGTGAAGCTAAAGGTCGTCAGTGGTCAACTGGTGAAGCGGCAGGTGGTGTGGCAGGTTGTACAGTGGTGATAGAGGGGAGAGAAAGAAGGTGTGGTTGCTAAATTTACAAAATTACCCTTGATGTGGGTGCTAAATCTACAAAATTAGCCTTTATATTAACAAGTTTTGTAATATAGGATATCAACTTGTATTTTCTCTGTGATCATGATATTATCGTCTTATATTATAGATTTAGGAGGTTATTTTCCTCCTCCGTAAATTATGTAATGTATTGCATGTTAATAAGATGAGATCAATAGAGAATTATTATTGTTTCATTCTCTCTATATATTTTTTTTACATAGTTCAACATATAGTACGTGCATTTTGGATTGATGTGTTTACTAATGTATTGTATAACAGTTCTATCTCCAATGATGCATAATTTTACGGCTTCTACCATTATTTACAAGTGGTTTAGATGTGAGATTTGGAATTAATTTCCATACATATAGATAAAGTATACGTTAGAGCTTCTAATTACATAATTAAATAGTATTAGATTGATTTTAGGCCTCTTTTGTTCACCTTATTTTTATTTATTTTAGGTGTAATAAATTAAGATAAGTTCAGCTTTCGAAAAATAAGTTATGATAAAGGTTACTCAAGTACAAATTACAACTAATAAAATAAGTTTAATAAGGTCTAATAAATTTAGATACATAAAAATTAAGTGAATAAAACACTCTCTCGTAGTAGCATTATTATAATACAATTTTTTAAAAATGGAAAAATGATGCCGATGAGATAACCAATGGTGGATTTTGGCAGATAAAGTTTTGATTTCCGTTGTGTATGAAACTGAATTCATAATAAACAAAAATTCTTGCGTGCAACCGGCTTACAGTAAGCTTACTGTAACGCCTAATTCGCACGTGCCATTACAGTATAAATAGCAGTCGCACTTCTTCTCTCAACTTCGTCTTCTTCTTCTCTCAAATTCGCAGCCACTCTTTTTCTGTCAAATTCGCTGCAAATTCTCTGTAAAACATCGATGGATTCCCTAATTCACAAATTATTACAATCTCAAAAACAAATTCAAGCTGCAATTTCAAACGATCCGCAAACTTCAAAAGAAATTGAAGTTGATTCTGCAATTGATGTTGATTTAAACAACGATTCTATGCAACAAACCCTAAATTGCAGGCAATGTGGCAATAATATTGACCTAAATTGCGAAATCAATGACAATGCAATGCATCAAAACCTCAATTCAGGTACGTAATTTTGTATATAAATTTGTACAAATTTACCAAAAATAGGTAAACTGGTGATTGAATGAATTACGATCAATTCAGATTCATACACTAGTAGAAAAATTGAAAAAGGCACCCCCCTTTTCCCACCGGTTTTTAAGAACCGGTGGGAAAAGATTTGGGCGGGATTCGGATATTTACTTTTCCCACCGGTTTCTTTGAAACCGGTGGCAAATGTATGTTTTCGAACCGGTTTGAACCGTTGCTAAATGTGTTGTTTTAAAAAAAAAAAGCGTAAATGGATATGCCACCGGTTCAACCCAAACCGGTGGGGAAAGTACGCATATTAAAAAAAAAACCGTGAAATACTCATCTTCTTCAATTCCTTCAGCCCGAACAATTTCGTTCCCCTGCTTCCCCTTCAATTAATCTTCTTCTCTCGTTCTCGCCTGCCCTCACCATCTCCTTCACGCATAGGTTGTCCTCATTGAAGCGCATTCCCTGGGCTTTCTCACCTCCATTGTCGCGCAACTCCTCTATTTCTCTCCATATATAGCTATCTCCTCCATTGAAGCGCATACTGTCGAGCTTTGTGACCTCCATTGAAGCGCATTCCGAGCTTTCCAACTCCATTGTAGCAACTTCGAGGTAAGAAATATTTCGTGGTCTTCCTAGTTTATTGAATAGCTTCGCAATCTAGGGTTAGTCGTTGATTTAGGGTTTTCTGTTCTTTGTGGTTTGCTTTGAGATTTTGGGTGGATTATGTTGTAACAGTTGGGTTGGGTTGAGGTCAAACCCTCTATTACTGTTAGTTATACTTCCTCTTTCAGGATTCATGATTGAAGTGGGTATTTCCTGACCTTTTCCATTGTTTCATAAATTACAAACATTGACTTCCTCAACTTACCACATTGATTCATTTTAATCGTTAATGCGGTAAGTTTAGGGTTCGAAATCTCAACTATTTTTGATGTTTGAATCCAATTTCCCTCAGAATTTTTGACCCTAATTTGATAATTGAATCAAACATCCCTTAACATATGTTATTTTTCGAGCATAATTTGATAATTGAATCAAATAACCCTAAAAATATGTGCTTTTTTGAGTTTTAAGTTTTAAGTTTTGAAGATCTCTCTGTTTTTGGTTGAACAGTAATGAAATTTTATCTGCTAGCGATGTTGTGTTATTGAATTGTCGGATTTATAGCTTTTCGTGTTTTTTTTTGAGATTTTTGGGTTTGTATTGCAGTTTATGGGTGAGATTATTACACTGCTAGATTTTTGTGTTCGATTTAGTAAACTTTAATTTGGTGATGCTTAATTTAGTAATCAATCTGCTTTTTTGCTCTTTGTTATGCTTGATATTGTTAGGACTTCCGTATGTTTTTGTTTCAATTTTTAAGTTGATCATTAGATAGATGATATACTGATAGTTTTTTAAATTAAATGAAGCTGAATATGTGTTCCCTGACAACATGTTTCTATCAGATTTCAGATTCATACAAGTACCGCAGATTTATGATGAGTATGTTTTAATGGGATCTGCTAACATTAACCAACGATCCTAAGCCGGTACTAAAGACACAGAAATTCCTATGGGTGCTTATCAACCCCATCATACTTGGGCTAACAAGAAAAGGCACCCAAGAGGCCAGGTTTGCTTGCATATCCTTACTGTGCTTTCTTTTCCTATAAAAGCTATTTTGGTTGATCTTTTGAGCTTGGGCATTTTCTCTCCCTCTCTCTTAATAGTCTTGACTGGTCCATACATCTGGTCATCTGTTTCTCAGCATTTTTGAGTATTTACCTGTGTTCAAATATATTAGTGATTGCATACGAGGATAATGTATGAAATGTTATAGCTTTAACTTATATAAGTTATTTGTTATTATTATTATTTTTTGAAATACAACTATGAAACCTAAAGATGTACTCCGTAAATTATTACAAATAATGAATTTTTTTGTTTTACTACTGCTAAATGTTTAGATATTGGTTTTAGCTTCTGTTGTAAGGATTGGAATTAAATAGATTACAAGTTTACAACTGTGGAAAAAATACCAAATCAATTAAAAAGTGCAGGGTGGGGGAAAGTTCAGGGAGGGGGCAGATGTAACAATACAACCCGGTTCAAAACCGGTGGGAAAAGGGGGGTTTGAACCGGTGGGGAATTCGTTTTTTTTGCCTAGTGTTTCCAGGATCCAAAAGGTATTTTCTTCTGAAAAAGATATTGTGAGAAAATTGTGGTTTGAATATTTATTACTTAAATCTCTTCCATTATAGATTCGTCTGTTTGAGTTGCAATGGCTATGACTATTTAGCACTGATTTTGAATTAGATCAAGTCAAAAGTTATATGTATCTATTATAAATTATAGATTACTTACAGCATTTTTAAAAAATTGTTGTTTAATTCTTTCTCAGACATAGGGTAAGTGTACAACTATATGCCTATATATGCTTGCTTCACTCTTTATAGTTTATATAGATTAGTGACATTACTCTATTAGTCCATGTAGTTGCTAGATAAGCAAGAACATGAAATCTGATTATAGTATATAGTACTTCAAATTCATTTGTGATCTTGTTTCTTTACTTTTGGTGGAATGTGATGAACTCGTTAACAATAATATTGTATATCACAGGAAAAATAGGCTCGGAGAGAAGAAAAGTACCGTTTTACATGTAAATGCTCATTCTTGGAGATCTACAATGAACAAATCCCTGATCTTTTAAACCCTCCCTCAACGAACTTACAGGTAAGGATCATGTGAATTTCAAGCTATGAAATAACTTTTGTTATCAATTTTTATTTTTTTTGTATCTCATATATAGAGCCGTAATGAGCATTGTAGCAGTGTGGTCATAAACTTGTTTCTCTTTTGTTGTGCTTATCAGTAGGACTGAGGATCGAGTCTCTGGGTTGATGATTATTAGTATAAATTGTCATGTTTTATTGTCCAGTAGCTTCCTTTCAAAGCTTATGCTCCTCATTTTTCAGATAATAGAAGACTTGAAGATGGGATCGAGTCTCTGGGATAATGATTTTTTCTCCCGACATGGTGGCGGTGGCTGGTAACTGATTATCATTTTTAAGGGCATTTACTGTAGTATATTTGTGTGCACATCTGTACACCATTGCCTACAGCTATTATCTTAAGTTGCATTTATAAATGTCACACCATATTTAAGCTTTAACTGGACAATTAGCAATTTTCTTATGGCATTGTGGATGAAATAACGTTGTGTACTTGAAATGCCCCCATCAGAAACACAAGCACACCTTTTAAGAGGGTGAAGAAAGGAGTAGAATGCGGGCTATTTTCTGGTCTGTGATGTGTGCATGCCTATTTTCTAGGTTGGTGCATGTGTAGGAACAACTGAACCATCATGTTTATTAATGCTATTTAAAAATAATTTGGGCTTCACATATACAGTATTAAAAGGGATCATTATATTCAAATTGGTCATTTAACATAAACCGGGGTAGCTTGGGCCATGGATGATAATTAAGTTTTTATTTTCCCTCCTTGAAAATACGTATGAGCCTCTTGTGTGCGCTCCAATATTGATGTGTAATTATATATGCTTTCACATGTCAAGCTTTGTGAGAAATCATAATATTTAAAATGGTTCATCGAAGACACACCTTGCCTAGCCTAGGAAGTGGAGAAGGTGATCAAAATTATTGCTTTGGTTTTTATTTGATCTGTTTTTGCCTTCTGCTGATCTCCTCTTATAGTTTAATAGCTTAGATCACCTTTAAGCAATAGTAGTGGCGGTTTTTTAACAGAAATTTAATTTATAGCATGATATGATGCACATTCTGGCATCTTACATCATTTTGTTGTTACCAGGTTATTGGGCGTCCCATTTATTGTCACGGAGTAGAATTCTGTGGCATCCCATGCTGGAATTATAAGTAGATTCAAGCATGAATTAGAGGAATCTATTTTCATGGTCTTGGGTCGTCATCTACCTTGGGAACTGCCTACTCGAGTTTGACACACTCGTACACCTAACTGTACTGAATGTATATGAAAGCAATGGGCTGGAAGAACACATTATCTGCCTGCTTTGTTTAAAGTTGTTTACTAACACAATTGTGACTTGCTAATAAACTGTGTAGAAAGGCAGATTCTAGTTTCTTCTTTGGGATGAGGAATTTCCTTGACGGTAATTCTTCTTAGCTTTCTTATTGGCTCTTGAGTTATATAATTTTTTGTTTATGTCCAGTTCACCATGATGGTAGGCATATTTACTCATAGATGCATCTCAATGGTTATTCTTTAGTAGCTAAATAGAAATTACAACTTTATGATGCATTGACCTTTATTGCAAGTGAAACAAATGCCAAATTTAAATGATTGAGTAGCAAATCCTGATATAACTCAGCAGCTTTTAGTTTGCAAATCCTGATATAATTAAATGGATAAACTTGTCTTCCTTGCATTGTTCTGGTGCCATGTTGATCCTGTCAGGGTTATCTTCCATTAATATACAGTATGAATTGGGCATTTTTTCTTCCCTAGATTTCATATTTATAGAATTTCTGATTCTTATTCATTTGAAATCTCAATTAACTTGTTTCTGAAATTTTCTTCACTCAACAGTAGGCAGCACCAACAACAAGGAGCAAAATGCACCAGCCAGAATTGCAAAACAGGCAGCATATAGCTATTGGAAACTTTTTTTTTTTTTTTAGTTTTTTAAAGTGTAATATTACAAGTTATTGAGGCATATATATGTGTTTTATGTATATTATGATTATATATAAGTATTTGGTACAATTTAAGTGAAAAAAATGAAAAAAAAAAAATTTAATTTTTTGGGGCACTTTTGCCACCGGGTCAGTGTGAAAACCGGTGGGAAATGTTATAGTTTTGCCACCGGTTCACTTGAAAACCGGTGGGAAAAGTCCTCCAGCTATAAGATAAATCACATGTTTTTGCCACCGGTTCACTCCAAAACCGGTGGGAAAAGTGGTTTTTGCAACCGGTTTTGAACCGGTGGGAAATCTTTGGGGATTTAGCACCCCCCATATCAAGAACGGGTCAAAACCGATGGGGAATGTGTGGTTTGAACCGGTGGGGATTGGGGTTTTTCGCCTAGTGATATGAGAGTAGAGTTATTCTCGATGAAGAACAAATCTCAGCTGATGAAGTGCAAATCTCGGTGGATGAAGAGCAAATCTTAGAGGATGAAGATTCAACTTCTGAAGGTAACATTAAGCTTTTGAACAGTTGCAGAATTGTTTAAATTGAAGTTTCTGTTTAATATTGAAAAGTACAAGTAAAATTGAAATTGCATACTTGTTTAATTTATAGTGTAACTGAAAGAAATAGAAGTGTAACTTTAAGAAACAAAGTGTAACTTTAAGAAATATAAGTGTTGTTTTGTTTATGGCATAAAAGTTATAGTTATTATTGTTAAAGTTACATAATATGGCCTAGAAGTTATATTATATAATTTAATAAAATAGTGAAATTAGTGATAACATTGTCAAAGTTACCTGATATGGAATAAAAGTTACTTTATTACTGAATTATAGTTACACTTTTTTCATAAAACTTAAATCTACTATACTGTTTATATTGCAGTCATTGAAACCAATATTGATGTTGGGAGAACATTATTAGGCATCAGAACAAAAACCTTAGAAGAAATGCATGAGATTTACAAAAAACATGCATCAATTGTAGGATTTTCAGTAAGGAAACATACAGGTAGGACTAGGGATAAAACTAGAAAAGTTATTGTGGAGAAATACTATGTTTGTTCTGCACAAGGTAAAACAAACACTGGGGAAAGAAAAAAGAAAAAAATAGAAGCAATTGTGGAGAATGCAGAAAAGAAAAAGAAAAGAAAACCTAGGCAAGTTCCTATCACAAGAACAGATTGTAGAGCTTGTATAAGAGTCAAGATGAATGAGGATGGATTGTTTGAAGTAGTACAACATGTTTTGGTACATAATCATGAACTCACAAGAAAACAATGGCACTATCTTCATCGATCTGAAAGAGAGATGACGGAAGAAAAGGGACAAGTAATAGAAAACTTGCAAAAGTCAGGACTTTCAGCTATGGACTCATATCGAGCTATGTGCAATGAAGCTGGAGGTAAAGAAAACTTGGGACACACAAAGAAAGACCATCTGAATTATTGGACAAGGTTGAAAATGAAAAATATTGAAGGTGGTGATGCACAAGCTGATTAGGGGATTTTGCTCCCACCAATCGGAATGCGCCACGTGGGCCAATCAGGTCCTGCCAAGTGTCCCCCAGTTGGACCTCTCAGGGCTTGCCACGTGGCACACGCTTATTCGTCCACCCTGGACCTATTATGTCATGACACGTGGCATACTCCATGCCTAATGGAGAAGTCGGCCACCTAGGCCCAACTTCCGAGGGAAGCCCAATCAGCCCAAGGTTAACCTAAACCTAGGATTGGCACGTTTCCCGAGGTTATAAATACCCCCCTTAATCCTCATTAAGGGAGATTACGCAGGTTACACACATTAAACACTCTCACCTAGAGAGACCTAATCACTTTAATTTCCGCATTAATTACTCCTTAATCAAGTACTAACTTGACCGTCGGAGGCGGATCTCCAATCATCCGGAGCATCCGTTTGTTTTGCAGGTACAGGCGTCCGGTTCTAGTCTCGGAATTGTAACTCTCCCGCAGGACATCAGAAAACCCCGAAACATTTTGGCGCCGTCTGTGGGGAGAGTACTTTTGAGATGGCATCCACGTTTGTACCGGCTCCTGAAGAGAGACGTCCCCTGGACGAACCTTTAGTTCAGTCGGACCACGATACTGAGAATGAATTTGAAGTTGAAGCTCACACAGCTTCAGACGGGACCCTAAGGGCCCGACGTACCCGTCATACCAAAAGGAGGGAACGGGAACATCTTCAAACTGGAAGTGAGCCAGCAGGCGCACCGCCTGTTCGGCAGCAGCCGACTGATGGGTCTGCTCCCATCACAAGGAACGAACTCATAACCTTCATGAGGGACTTCAAGGGAGAAATTCAAGAGTTGATCAACAAGAAGCCGCCTGCTCTGGACAAGGAGCAGTCGGCTAAGAAACCCTCCACTTCACGGAAGAGGAAGCCAGTTCAAGGGCGAGAGGCGACCCCTCATCCTAAATCTAGGAAGTGGGAACCACCTGCCCTTAATTTCACAAAATACCATTTTCCTACTCCAGGAAAGAGGAAACCTGTTCGTCATATTCAGGCGGACGGGTCGAGGAAAACATACACAGATGCTCGGCTACTGCTAGAGCAGAAGAAGAGTGACCGATTGTCAGAGTCGGCCTCTACTTCAAACTTCCAAGACAGTCTGCGCAATACCTCGATGAGGCATACTCAGTCGTATCATGAGAGTCAGTCAGGCGGCACCTCCCGTCAGTCCGGCTTTCATAGCGACTAGGCGGTACCAAACTTACCGTTTGTACCGCAACAACAGTATTTTTTGCAGCCACCTCCGTTTGGTGGACATGCAGCAAAAAATGTCCAACCTATAGACTGGCAGCTACGGTTGCTTAGACTGGGCGAACAGCCGTCGGCCTTCTCCAAGGAAATTATTGAAGCCGCTCAGCCGGCCAAAGTGAAAAATGTATTATTAGGCGCCTATGACGGCACTACTAACCCAGAAGACCATCTGATGGCATTCACCAACCTGATGTACCTTTCAAGGGTTGGATGATCCCACTTGGTGCAAGTGTTTCCTAGCGACTCTCAAAGGAATCGCACAACAATGGTTCGGCAACCTGCCGACTGGTTGTGTAAATAACTTCAGGACGCTTGCTTACTTATTCACCTCCAACTTCGCCATGAACATCCCTGCGAAGAAGACGACCCTTGATTTAGGAACGATTCAGCAGGGCGAGAAGGAGGGGCTTCGTTCTTACATCAGGCGGTTTAACCTGATGAGAATACAGATTCAAGGGTTACCGGATGAAGTAGCCTACACTGACTTTTTCAGAGGTCTCAAAGACGGGTCGACCTTCAAATTTGATTTGGTCCGAAAGAGGGTGGCGACTCTTCAAGAGGCCTTGATTGAAGCGGAAGCCTATATACAGGCGACTGATCTTTGTAGTACGGTAAAACAGTCAGACGGGAAAAGGTCCGACAAAAGAGAAGGACGACAGAAACAGTCGTCAAACAAAGACGAGAAGAGAAAAGAGGTCTGGGCAACTGATTCCTCTAAACAGCCGGCCCAGAAGAAGAAAAAAGAATACAAACCATACTCCCCAAAGTATGCGTTTAACAAGGATAGCCAATTTATCCTAAAGGAAATCAAGGGACGGATCTCAATTGAGAAGCCGGTCCCCATGAAGGGTTCTGCAAACAATCGGAACCAAGAAAAATTCTGTGATTATCATGAAGATGTTGGTCATCACACCAATGAATGCATCAGTCTCATGCGGTATCTGGACCGTCTGGCTGAGCAAGGTGATCTTGACACTTATGTCAAGAAATCTACGGGGAACACTTCCTCGAAAAAGCAGTCGACCAAAAAGAATCAACAGGCCGACAGCTCCGATACAGATGATGCTGTCGTCTACACCATTGCAGGCGGCTTCTCAGGAGGCGGCCCCACTATTAGGGGCAACAAAGACAATATCAGACGGCTAGATGTAAATTCCGTTCACCAAGAACGGCCCTCCAAATATTCATTTCCTGAGATTGTCATCACTGAAGAAGATCTAGGAGGGGTAAGAGGGCCGCATGACGACCCTAACGTTATTGAATGTAAAGTGGCCAACCAGAGAGTTGGCCGAATCCTCATAGATACCGGAAGCTCCTCAGATCTCATCAGTAGCTAATGTCTGTCGAAACTAAAATATCAGACTGATTGCATACATCCGGCATCCCACCCTTTAGTAGGGTTTGGAGGAGGAGTCGTCCACCCAGTGGGACGAGTGGATTTACCCATCCGCCTGGGTGAAAAAGGGGAAGGACGACACATGGTAGTCCGGTTCCTGGTAGTAGAAGAACTCTCGGCCTACAACATGATTCTGGGACGACCAACCCTGAATAATTCCAAGGTTGTTATAATCCCATCTCTTATGTTGCTCAAGTTTGAGAGGGATAATGGAACAGTCGGGTCCCTAAGGGGAGATCAGAGGATGGCCTGAGAGTGCTATCTCTCGGATGTCAAGCCCACCGTTATGACCGCTGGGTCGAGTGGTGGAAAAAGAGACCTTGACAATGTCAAGGAGAGTGCGCCTGCTCAAGAAGCAGGCGGCAAGAAGAGAAAGGCATCCCAGACGGGGGCCGCAAGAAAAGACAGAAAATAGCAATCATTGGCAGAGGAGCGGTCGGATGAATTCCGCCCTCAGCCAGCTGGTGAGCATACGGACCTGATCTTAGATGACTCGCGTCCTGACAGAGCAGTCAAAGTTGGGACGACTGCTCTAAGGGTCCTGGGTGACGACTTTCACAAACTATTGAAAGAATACAAGGACATCTTTGCATTCGAAGTCCATGAAATGCCAGGCATCAGTCCTGATCTGGCGGTACATAAACTGGCCGTGGATCCGAAAAAGAAGCCGGTAAGGCAAAAGAAGCGGAACCATGGCGAAGAAAGAAGTTAGGCGGCAGCCGCCGAAGTTAAAAAATTACTTGATGTAGGGTTCATCCGGCAATCTTACTTCCCAGACTGGGTTTGCAAATGTGGTGCTTGTTAAAAAGCCGAATGGCACCTGGCGAATGTGTGTAGACTACACAGACTTAAACAAGGCGTGCCCCAAAGACAGTTACCCTCTGCCTAAAATTGATAACCTGGTCGACTCAACAGCCGGCCATGCTTTGATGAGCTTTATGGACGCCTACTCTAGTTTCCATCAAATTCCTTTATGGAAGAAAGATCAGGAGAAGACGGCCTTCGTCACTGATCAAGGGTTATACTGTTATACGGTCATGCCGTTTAGTCTTAAGAATGCCCCGGCCACTTTCCAGCGAATGATAAACACTGTGTTCTTTGATCAGATTGGGAGAAATGTCGAGGCATATATTGATGATATGATTGTCAAGTCTAAACTTCAGAAAGATCATCTGTCGGACCTCCGAGAAACTTTCGCCACACTCAGGCGGCACCATGTCATGCTCAATCCCAAGAAATGTGTCTTTGGAGTTGAGTCTGGGAAATTTCTCGGATTCCTTATCAATTAGAGAGGAATAGAGGCGAATCCTGAGAGGGTTCAGGCGGTCATCGACATGCAGTCGCCTCGTACCATCCGAGAGGTTCAGAAGTTAACAGGTTGTCTGGCGGCCTTGGGAAGATTTCTAAGCCGATCAGGCGACAAATGCCTATACTTTTTCCAGGCAATTAAGAAGAAGGCAAGGTTTGAATGGGGGCCGGATGCTGAGGCGGCCTTCCAGAAATTGAAAGTTCACTTGCATTCTTTGCCGAGGCTGGTCAGCCCTTTACCCAAAGAAGTACTTTACATGTACCTGGCCGTCTCTGATCATGCGTTAAGCGCTGTTCTTCTTGCTGAAAGAGACGGCTGTTAGCTCCCGGTCTACTTTGTCAGTCATGTACTGAAAAATGCCGAGTTGAGGTATCCCTTAGTGGAGAAATTTGGTCTTGCACTCTTCATGGATGTTAAAAAATTGAAGCCCTACTTTTTAGCACATGCAGTCATCGTGTATACAGATCAACCTATCAAGCGGCCACTGACCACCATGGAGTCGTCAGGCCGAATGATCAAATGGGCCATAGAAATACAGAGCCTCGAAGTTACTTTCGAGCGTAGAAAAGCAGTGAAGGGGCAAGCCTTTGCTGACTTTATTGTTGAGATGACTCGTCCCCCTGATTCTCGAGATCCAGACCAAGTCTGGAAGGTATATGTGGATGGAAGCTCTACATCAAATGGTTGTGGAGCAGGCGTCATATGTCAGTTGCCAGAGGGCGACAGGTACGAGTATGCTCTACGTTTCAGTTTTCAGGCCTCAAACAATGAGGCAGAATATGAAGCTTTACTAGCTAGAATCCGCATGTGCAAGGCGGCAGGGGCACGAAAGATAGACGCCTGTTCCGATTCACAATTGATAGTGAGTCAGTATAATGGCGAATACGAAGCAACCCATCTGGCCATGATCAAGTATTTACAGGCGGTACGACAGGCGGTCGGATCCCTTGAAGATTTTCGTCTGACTCAAGTGCCGAGATCAGAAAACAACCAGGCGGATGCACTTTCAAAATTAGA